GGAAACTTGCTAAGCCACTCAGCTGAGACAAATATCTTATCCAGTCTTTCCTCAATGTAGCCATCACCACCCCTATTGTTTCCCCAGGTAAAGAAAGAGCCAACCTGGGGAATTTCCTCCATAGCCATATTAGAAATGAAGTTTTGAAACCCCACAAAACTGATGGCACTCCTCTCCACCCCACCTCTTTTTTCCTCCTTACACACTATGTCATTCCAATCCCCAGCTAACAACCATCTCTCCCCCCATTGATGCTTCCTGTCTTCAAGATACTCCCATTGTCTTCCTCTCTCCCTTCTATCAGTACTCAAATAAACAAATACCATCCAGCACCACTCCTCCATCCCAACCCCTTTGACCTCCATTTGAATACAAAATTCATTACCTTCAATATGATTCACTACAGTCAACTGATCCCACATAGCTAGAAGCCCCCCTCTAGAATTATCAGGCTGAACAAAATGCCATCTAGGATGAAACCCCAATTTTCGACAAACAGTAGTAGTAAAAGCCTTATTTTTCTTAACCTCAGATAAAAAAATTATATTTGGATGGTGGACTCTTCTGGAGTCCTTGATCTGGGAAACTGTAGAGGGCCCACCCAGCCCTCTACAGTTCCACACCATGACCTTCATTTGTCACCCTGGGGCCATTTAAGGCTGGCCTGCTCCACCTCCACAATCTCAGAATTCCCCTTTTGTTTCTTATCACAATGCTCCTCTTCCCCTGAGTCCTTTGCACCTTCATAGATAACCAGATCCCTGCTCCTTTTCATGCTCCCAAAACCAATATTACCACCTGAAGAATCACCAACCTTGATCTGTTTGATCTGAGCAATAGAATGTCTCTTCCATTTAGAAATCGATCTCTGCCTCAGATTATAAGGGTTCTCCTGCATCCCTACATCCTGTAGAATTTCCTCCCCACTAATATTGGAGTCCTCAAACTCCATCAATCCTCCATTGATAGGCTCAACCGCCGGCACTTCTACTCCTTGCTCTACTTTCCTACTGGATTCCCCTCCCTCCTTCAGTTCCTCCCGAATGACAGAAAAGGCCTCTGTAAATTTCTTTCTGGCCTCAACAGGCATTGGACCATCTCTATCAGCAGAACCACCAACCTTCGGAGAGCTATTGTCTGACTCCCGTGATCCCAGTGGATTATTGGATTTAGGAGTATTATCTTTCTCCCCTGAATGATCACTGAATGAGGATCTGCCACCCGCAAAAGTTTCGTTTGCCTTCATCCAGTCTCCAAATTGACCCTCCACCACACAGCTATTCTCAAAGTCCTCTTCCCTTTTCTTGCAGTTCCTTTCCAAATGCCCAATGAACCCACAGTAATAACACAGATTTACTAAC